CCCTTCTCCCCGCCGCCCCTTCTCCCCGCCGCGGCGGGCTGCGGGACGTACCCCGGCGCTGGGCGGGGGGGGCGCTTTCCTGACTGACGCCTCCCGCTCCCCCGGAGCCTGACCAGCTCTCGAGTCGGCTCCGGCAGCGGGGGCCGGTCCCGCGGCGAGGGGCGGCAGAGCGGGCTTTCCTTCGCGGGGGGCGGCCGCGGGCTCGGGGGGCCGGGGCTGGAGCAGCCGTTGGGGGAAGCTCCCGGCAGGGCCGCAGGGCGGTTCTCCCTCGGCGTTGAGGGAAAATTCCTGTTTCTACTTCCCAAGAGTATTTCCCCAGCGGGTGGTCGGCGCAACGTCTCCGCTTCGGGCGGCGATCGTGTTTTTCCTCTGTTGGGCGTCCCTTGGGAGAACGTCGGTCTGTCTTCGTTCTTACTTTCCACAGTCAGCCTAGGTGGGAGAGGGCAGGCTCTCCTCTGGCGTCTTGGGCGTGAGGAGGCTGGCAGCGGCTTTCTCCTGAGAAAATGGTTTCTGTACGTCCCTTCACGTCGGGTGGCTTTTATAGCCCGCTGTAGCTGCTCTGGCAGCAAAACCGTGGCTGTCCGAAGTTTCCGAGCGTACCGGCAGCCCTGTGGGTGTGATCCTTCCCCGTTAATTTGCCAGCGAACCGGGCTGGTGCTCTGCTGAGCCCCGTCCCCGGGAGAGGAGGGCAGAAGGTATTGCTGGCTGTGGGGAGAGGGGCCCGGGGACACGCGTGGGTCTTACGCAACGAAAACTGAGCAAGAGGCACGCAGGACCAGTTTGGAGCGGTGTCTTTCTTCTTGGGATCCATTAGCCTTAGCTGCATGTAGGTGCTTGCGTTAGATTACTTCATTTACAGGATTCATTCACGGTTCATCACGGACACTGGGGAAGATTGCATTGTCTTTTTTTTTTTTTTTTTAACTCGTGGTAGTTTCTGTCTGACAGGTACCACACCATGTTTGCGTTTTTGATAGTGCTGTGTCAACTGCACGTGATGATGTTTGCGTTTCCTCACTGCACAGGGAGATTAAATAACTTGAAGCAACCTGAACGAAAAGACGGTAACTTACTTTTAATGTGATTTTATGCCTTCCAGAAATAAAACTGTATCTAACTTTGCTGAGAAATCTTTTTATGTATGTAAATAGTTTTGGTTTTGTTGGGTGTTTTTTTTTACTTCATTAAAAAAAATCAAGCTTTTATGCTTAATTTTAGAATATTTGAATATCTTTTGCTGAAATGATTGATAATTGACTTCGGTGTGGATATTAAGTATTTATCCAATCCAGTAGTAAGTGCAGATTGGGACAACTGAGCTTTCTCTAAGTTTCTAGGGTTATTGCCATTGATATAACCAGAACACTCTAAGTAAAATCAAAATTTCAGAAGTTTTAAATCTGTATTAAGACAGTACTGCTTTGGTACTATTTCAGCACAACAGTTTTATATTTAAAATTGCTTTGTATTTGAAAGGGTTTATTTGATTGTTCTTTGGGATTGGTATTTTTTCTCAATACCAGATCCCCTTACTACCCCTTGACAGATAAACATAGTGCTGCTACTGCAGTTCTTCACTTTGGAGGGAGGGAAGTGGAGAGGAATTGAGGTAAAAACAAATCAAGTTCTCCAGAAGGACTCAAGCACTACAATGCTAAGCCGGGTGATACTTTACATTTAAGCATCAGGGCTTCAAAAAGGAATTTGTAACTTAGCTGTCCAGTCTCCTCAGTGGATAAGGAGTGCTGAAACCTTAAGACAGACTTTAAAAAGTCATCACATTGAGGGGGAGGCTCCTTCAGGGCAGTATGTTGAACAGAAAACATGGCTAGCAGAAAAATGCTTGAGACAGGTTATTCATTAAAATTCATATTGCTCTGGGCCATAAAGTGTCAGGCTGCCTCTTTGCTGCGAGTTCTCTATTTGTTCTATGACAAATAGAATCCTCTTCTGACAATAGGCCCAGATCACACTCTCATTAAAGACGGAGTGAGTTGGAAAGAGAGGGGCCCAACTCTTTATCCAATAATTTAGCAAGTAGAACAGTTGTCAAGAGTATGGGATGCCTGCATTGAGAGGTTACCCCTTCAGCATTTTCTGAACATCTTTTACCAGCAGAGTTACTTTATTCAGCAAACTGCGTGGATGCATTTTTGATCAAATGCTAGGGATCCTAATGTGTTTAGCATTCTGTTGAACCAAGGACTGCAGAACTGCATTCAGTTCCCTCACATATAGGAGAGAATTCATATCCATCTGTTTCATTCTCCAAATACTATCTTAATCACCAGGTTGCAGGTAATTCGGAGATGGAGATAGGTGTACTTCGACCATGTCCTACAAAGTGAAAAAAGTGCAGATAAATGGATAAAGACTCTTCAAAAGAGAAAAGGAGCATGTATCGTGGGGAATTAGGGGTCCTAGGCTCCAGGCAGTTTGCTGATGCATTCCACATTAATTAAAATGCATCAATTATCTAAGTTAATTCAGAAGTATAGCTAATACTACTTGCATGGTAAGGAATGAAACACTTCTGAGCAAAACTGAAGATACCTCTTTCAGAAGACTGAAGTTATTCTTGCGATTTGCACTGAACCAAGATATTGATAATATTTTTTTCCATGTAATTCTTTCCCCTTTCCACTTGTGCATTTGTTTTTTAAGTCCTTCTCTCTGGTTACTCTTAGGTATAGCATAAATATTTTGAGCTTAGATTTTCTTGCAATTACTTTAGAATAACAGATTTCCCTTCCTACACAAATGTGTGCGCACGTGTGGCTCTTTCAATATATACCGTAGAATTCTATAAATTACATAAATATATACTCTAATATTCATTCAATATACTATAATATTAAAGACCTAAACAACCAATATGCAAGTTGCACTGCAATTTTCTTAGTTTTCAGAGAGCAAACCATTTTGAGATACCATTGCAAGATCTAACAGTAACTATTAGGGTAAAAATTCCTGAATGATGTGATAATCTAGCCAAACAAGCTAACAAGAACACGGAGCTAATTTGTAGCTGAATAACTTTATACAGACTCTCATCTCCTTTTTTAGCCGTCTGGCTTGGTGTGTAACAATGGTGTTTCTGCATTACACTTGCAAAAATAATCCTCTAGTCATTTCACTTAACCAAATAGTCTGAATTTCTTGGAATACAGATTGGGCTTTCACTGAAAACCAAGCCAGAAAACTAGTTGTGTCATATAAATTTTTTTTTTTTTTTTTTTTTTTTTGAGAAAGAAGCTGTAGCAAGAACAGGCTAAAACTTGACTATGGAAAATGCCTGGTGAGAAAATGCATTCCTGTATTCCAAAACCTTTTATAATTTCACTAACTCTTCTGGAATCTCACCTTGCAACTTATTCCATGAGGCCTCATGTAGCCTGTAATATGCACAAAAGAAGAAAATAATTAAATGTCTTCCAAAGTGCCTGTTGTCAGTAAAATTCCTATCATGGACTAATTTAAAACAAATAAACTTGGCAATATGCCAACCTTTAGATAAAACTTGCTGCCACAACTGTGAAAAGAGAACAAATGTAAAACGAATAGGGCTCTGCTGCCATGATTTAAAATCCAAATTCCGTAAAGAAAATTTGGAACTCACAGATAGCAGAATATTGATAAATGTATATTGAGGATTCTTCAGAAGAGATTTTTTTTTCATCCCCCCCCCCCCTTGCCTCCTTCCTCCAGTAGGCCAGTGTCTTGCTGAGTTTGGATCTGACTGAATTTCTGCTTTATGTGACTATGACTTTGTTCTTAAAAGCTCCAGTAAAAAAACTGATGCCCACATCCCAGAAGGAATAACACCAAAACTTGAACAACAGCTGTCATGAGAATCAAATTCTGTTGGCCAGTATAAGGAATACCAGAAATCCTTTATGAGAAAGGAAAATATGTTTATTTTATATTGCATAGTTAGAAAAATTAACAGCAAAGAAGACATTTTAGGAGGAGACCTTGATGTTTCTTTTTCCTGTATGTAGTTGAGACATGCTAGGGGAAGAAGTGGTCTCGATGTGCTCCTTTAGGATATTAAACATTCTTTAAAAATAGCAAATTTAACTTTCCTAACTTGTTCTAAATCAACTTTTTTTAATTAGTGTTTACATCAGAAAAGGAGGCCAATTTATTCATTGGACGACATCTTCTGAATAACAGATTTGATTTTGAAGCATTCACAGCGGATAACCTGGAAAGAGAATGCTTTGAAGAGCTGTGCAATTTTGAAGAAGCCAGAGAAGTTTTTGAAGACCCCAATAAAACGGTAGCTGTTCAAACTGAATTTAATATATTGAAGGAGGTTACTGACTAAATCATTACTGTATCTAAATACTGTAGCCCTTTGGAAAACAGCACCTAAAATGATTGCTTATTTTACTGTAAAAGTAGAGGCCCCAATTAGATGGGGTTATTGCTCAAGATACGCAGTGAATACACTTGAATATGTACTACTGTCTAGAAGACTTTAGATAAGAGCTCCAATTCTGCAAACGAATATAAATGAAACTTCAGAAGTACTACTTGTGGATATACTTACAGGTGTTTTCAGAATCTTTTTTTTTTTTAGTAACTTCTTAGCATCCAATTTGAATGTGTTCCACATGCTGTATGTATTAATTGGCTGATCATGTCCTTGTGTCATGCCAAAGAAGCGTTTTAGAAGAGAGGAGTACAGAGCAAATCTGCAGTTCAGCTATTGCTGAGTATTCCTATAGCATTATCTTCTAAATTGCTACCTATATACAGCTTGGAAGAAACCTGGTATAACAAAAAGAGAAAAATACTTAAGAAACCTTTCAGCCCAATAATGGAACGTGATGATTGTTTGCAGTCTAGACGGCTCTTGCTGCATGCAGCAAGACTCTTCACGATTCTAGGTGTGCTCTGTGCTAACCTGCAGAAAAACCAAGGAATACATACTTCTGTTCTGAAGGTGGAAATGTTAGTTTGCCATTGCTAGCATTTTCCTAAGAAAAAGGTGAAAGTGTTAAATTGGAATCTTGATGGGAGTTTTTTGCTGGGTAGCAAAAGTGGAAATTACAGCTAAACCCATTTAATGCATAACAGTCACGCAACGCAAAGGTTTTCCTTTTCTCTTAAATGAATCCCATTATTTTTCCTAGCTGATATGAATTCAAATAGTGTTCATGCAAATGTTGGATTCTTAAGAACTCGACTTTGCCTTATTAATACTCTTCTGTAGGGATTTACAAAGATTAATTGTAAGCATTTTTTTAGTGTCAGAATATGTGCTTTCTACTATAATCGGGCAGAAATATGAGGTAATGTTGGACAGTTAAATGCACTTCTTTCTTTCACCAGCTGGCATTTTTTCCTTTGTGACATTGTAATATTTATGCAAACTTCAATGTATGAGAAAAATATGGTGGGATAAGCAAGTACAAATCCTTCAGCAGGAGTTGCTTCTGTTCATGCCATTGTTAAATTTTGCCCACAGTACTATTTAAAAAAAATTGTCAATAAGCCTGTCAATTATCTATTTCATATAAATCTGATCCTTTGTGTTTTTATAGATGGATTTTTGGAACGACTATTCAACTAAAGGACCTAAAATAAAAATAGGCAAGTCATCTTTTTTCTTCTTTTCTTATATTGCAGTATTTTGTGTTTGTTATAATAGTACATTCTTAAAAATACACCATGCATTCAGTTAGCAAAATCAGAATTGATCTTTTTACTGAAATTCACTGTGAACTGTGCAAGTATATTGCATTGTCTGATGCAATAAAACATACTCACTGAAGCATCTTACTCCCAGTGGGCTTCATTATAAGTCTGTAAGTAAAAACAATGTAACTTTCTTGTACATTTCTTTGTTTTATTACACAATCAGTAAATTTGCAGTAATTCTGTAGCTGCTTTCTGTGGTTTGGTTGTGTTTGTTCCTCTCCTCTCCCTGCCCCCTCTTTCTTTAATAGTAATATAACAGTCTGATTTAGGTTCAGAGTAGTCTTATGCCAGATGTTTTATTAGAAAAATGGTCAGTATGACTTGAGGGAAGATCTACAGCCTGATCAAGGTCACAAGTACACGAAGTAATATTTGGAAGGCGTTAGAAGACGGACATCTCAACAGTTTTATGTACAGAAAAGGGAGTATTTACTCACTTTTGCTTTAAAGATGACTGTGAATGATGCTCTTGGGTTGTGTTGCACAGATACTATGGCTTCGCACAGCAAGCTAGATACTGGTGGAAAGGAACAGGCTTATAGCACAGTGAAATTAGTATTTTACAGTGTATACAGTATACTATGTAGATGGAAAGAATGCATAATGAAAATAACCAATGTTTTATCTTCAGGTGATGAGGCACTACAAAAGATTAATGTTACAGGACTTCTCATCAGTCTAGTTGCTGCTGGAGTACTGTTAGTTATAATTGCACTGCTTATCTTCTACTGCTGCAAAAGTAGATGCAAATCAAGGCAACCACCACGGTAAGGAATTTCACTGCTTTAAAAAAAAAACAAAACAAAAAACGCCAAAACAAACTCTTGCTTAAGAGTGGAATTTAAAAACCACTCTGCGTTGGTCTAACTGTATTCTCAGAGAATCCAATGGGATTTCTAGTTTTTAGTTTTCTGGAACCAAAGTTACGTGACACTAGCAGCAGTTATGCTGGTTAGTAACATAACAATGTAAAAACAACACTTGCATGGCTGACATACCTTTGGGTGTTTTTTTCTTTGTGTGTGTTCTTGGTTCCAAAATACTCTTTATTAAAAGATGGAATCATTTTAATAGGTTGGGGCCTGCAATGGAAAGTCTAATGTGTTCTGTTCACTCTCTGAAGTAGGTTGTATGCTCTTTGTGGCATGTAGTCTACCTCAGATGTGAAATGAAGTAGGCTGGAGGAAATACTTCTTTACCAATTCTTTAGCCCCGCTTGTTCCTTTATCCTAAACTTGAAAGGAATACAAGGGGATTCTGTGCCTCTTCCCTATAAATTTCACATTACTGAGCTATTCTTACCCTGTGGTTTGGAGAGAGTATTTAGCTTCTGGTCTTTATGATCATTGAAGGCAAGTGTTTTCTGTTGTGGGGTTTGGGTGGGGTTTTTTTGTGTTTTTTTGGGGTTGGTTTGTTTTTTTGTTTAGTGTTTTTTTTTTCCAAGTAAGGCTTTATATTCTTTCTTCCCTTTAAAACAGAAGCTGCCATTTATAATGCTGTTAACTTTGTTTAGGTACTTGCATTATGTAAGAAGACGTAGTTCATCTAGCATCTTCAGAAGGCATGAAGAATTTTCTTTAAACCCACTTCCTCTCAGAACTGATGATTCAGGACTACCAACTTATGAGCAAGCAGTTACTTCAGATGGACAACACAATGTGCCACCACCTCCTTATCCAGGGCCCCCAACAGGGGCTCGGGTGTTTAAAAAGTCTATGTCACTTCCTGCCCCTTAGTCACAAACCTCCTTCTGGGGTGAGGGGGGATTACTGAAACATAACAAACTTTTTTAAAAAGTCTGTGCTACCTTGCATATTGCAAGACAGTTTACAAAAATGTGAAAGATCTTTAGCACAACTAGGAGCAAGTGAAGGTCCCATTTGGGAAAAGAGGTGATCTGTTGCAAAGGCTGCAGGACTGTTCTTTGCACAAGGTTATTGCGCTAAGAGGAGGGAATGCATAAAGAGTGAGTCTTGTACTGCCACCCTCTTCTATATGCACTTTGAGCCATCCCATCATACTATTGATGTTTCATTAATAGTTTCATCTCTTTTTTCTTCAGAAGGAACAGTATTTTAATTGGTTTTATTGTCACTAACCATTTTTTGTGACTATTAATACTTTAAACCACTGTAAGAAGTCTGCTTTGTTGTTTGATATATTCACTTCATTGCTGTTGAATTATCTATTCATTCTAGTAATAGATTTGAGTATGAAAACTATTTCATGATTTGATCTTTCAAATGTATATATATTACTGCTTCTGGATTACAATGGTTTGTTTTAGACATTGCTGGTTAACACACTACTCAATGTGTTTTATTTTTGTACTTTCAATTTTGGATGAAAAGGAGCCATTAATTGCATGGCACACTACCCATTCAGACAAAGTATATTTTTATCAAATGGTTTTGATGTTCAGCACTAAACACCAGGTCGAAGTGAATAGGTAGAGAGGATGTTAAGCAAATAGCTAGAGACTTGTCCCTTGTTAAAAAAGTACCCACCTTTCACAAATAATGTTTCTCTTGCAGTTTAAAAATTTAAATGTTGAAAAAGACATTTAGCTTGGGGAATCAAAGGCCAAACTACCCCACAGGAGCACTTTGTGTCAGTATGTATTGCCCTACTGGCATGACAAAATCATACTTTTAAGTAGCATGTAATATCATATTAGGTAAATAACCAGTATCCACAGAGCAATAGTCATGAATTTCAGGGAGTTACTGGTTAACTGTATCAACCCAATTTCTGTATCTCCAGTTGTAGCCACCCTTAATTTTACACCTTATTACAATATCAACCCCCAGCATTATGTGGCCTACAGATCTTGCGGAGCAAGTCATAGACCAACATTGCTGTCCCTTTACCTCCTAGTCAAGTGGCACTGTAGTGGAAAAGGCTTCCCATAGCCACAGGAAGCCATATTAGAGGGTCTCACAGAGAACATGTCGGGCTGCTGTTTTCTTGTATTACAGTAGCTATATAGTTGGACACATGCAGTAAAGTTTTTTAAGAAGCAACAAATACCACCCCCCCACCCCCCCATTTGACCAATACTGGCAGCAGCAAAAGGTATTTTAATTTGGTGCCTAAAATGCACTTCAAAGGCTGAATATTTATATGTAACATTTCACTGATTTTTATGTTTTTTAACATGCTAGTGCTGTTGAGTAAGATGCGGAGATTTGCTGTGAGAGTTTTAATCTGTAAATGCTTTTGTAAAGAAGAAAATGCTCCAAATCTTGGAATATGAAGAGGGTACATTGAAAATGCTACACAAGGAGGTCTTGCCCTTTGAAAAATACATACAACCCACCTGGTATCAGTGGACGTTTGACTGTGTTCTTATTGCTAAAGCTTCAGCTTCAGATTTGGCTTTTGACAAGTTGCAAACCTCTTTGCAGCTTCTTTCTTGTTGAGAGATGGGGGAATCCCCTTGTTGGGAGAGCTTCAATTCACTTTTGCCCTACTTGAAAAAGCATTTTTAAGTTCTTGGAGGTTACTATTCTGCAAGACTGAAATAAGTGGATTGTGCGAGATCACTGTTGATAACCAAAATACAGAGTTATGATGAATTACAAGCTTGCAAAAACATTTCTCCCATATTTCCTTTTCATTTAGCTACCAGTTTTAAAATTTGTTAATGTGCATCTTGAGCTATAGAGCACGCTTTTCTCTAGATTTTTCCTGGGACTCAAAAATTGCTAATTTAATGGGACTGATAGGAGCACTTTCAAGGAAAGGGATTTCACAGGGCTTGTGAGAGTTCAGGTTCCGTAATGTTACTACAGTGATGTACACATCTGGCAAAGTCATGTTTTAAATAAACTACAGAAATTGTACAGAAACCTATTTAATCACTTGAAATTTGATTCTTCTCCTATTCCTACAAATCATTTGCAAATGATTCCATGCAATGCAAGCAAAAATCTTGTTCTTCATAATTAATAAAAAACCTTGACATGGTATAACTGTTAAACATAATGCTATAGCGTTTTGGGCAGTAAACTGCACCTTGTGTAGGGAATAACACTTCAAATTTACTCAAAGAAGCTGCACTTAAATCCTGAAGATATTCAAAATATGCAGTGACTGACATTCAAATACTGGTTGCGCAAAACACGACGATTTGCAAGACACATTCTGCTTATTTTAAATAAGGAGCAATGTTTAAAATTTAGTTGAGAATAATGTAAACTTACCTCTCCTTGTAAAGGGAGAAAATTCCTTTGAATGGCAGTTGTTTGGGCTGAGTTTTTCTTCTTTCATACATTGACTCCTGGCCCAAGATACTCTTACCTTGTACCTTGTCTCTTTTTAGAACTTCTGATTCATCAGGGTTAGCAGACAAAAAAAATCAACAAGAGGTAGACTATGGTGACTTGTGAATGCAGAAGTGTTGCCACATTTCCAAATTTTACATGCAATTTCCTTTGAAAATGCAGTTGCTATTAGAAAACAGCATATTTAAATGTCCTTAGGTGGGAAGAGGAGGTGGTGGTTGATTTTGAGGAGTAAAGCAGCAGCAAGTTTAATCTAATTTGTATACAGATGTAAATCATCAGTGTTTTGACTTCCAGACTTTCTTTCAAGGGCCAGTAGGAAAGGCAGTGGATTTTAAGTGAATTAACAGAGATCTACTACGACAGTTGAAAACTGAAGTGTCTCAACAGAACACTGGGAAAAATTACATAGTACATAAATTCTGTTTCCCTCAGAACAGGTTTAAACAGGTCACACTAAATGCTGTTAGCCATTGCCTTGAACAATTTTCAAAAACTTAGCCCTTTCAGCATCATACAAGATTACAGCATGCAACTTTTTATAAATCAGAACAGATTATCAGTTAGAGCAAATAACTTGAGGGTCAGAAAAGTGGCCACTGACTCTGTGAACAGAAAAATAAATCAATCTGGTTTTTGCTTCAGTGAAATAAAAAAGCCTACTATGTGATTTATTAAATCCTCTGAAGAATAATATCATAAGCATTATGTATTTCTAGGTTTTTGGGTTTTTTTTGTTGGGGTTTTTGTGAATTCATTAGAAGAGCAAAACCAAAGTACCAAATGGAAGTGCACTTCCTCACCACAGTTCATGAAAATATGAGTCATGAAGCATTTGATTCTGGTCCTATCATAGTCTATGGCAAGCTTTTTATTGGCTTCAGCTGAACTGGGATTGGAGCCAAAAATGAAATAACTGATCACTTCAGGTAATAGAAAGTATAATACTCTGCCAAATTATTTACCACAATGCTGTTGCCAAACATGATTTAGAGTATTCTATTGTTTTAATGATGCCTACTTATATTAACTAGAACGTTTGAGGCTGATCTGCCCCTAAAAAGTGTATTTGAAATTTGGAAGTGAAAGAAAATTCCAAGTCTTTCCTCAGATTACCAGCTGTGAATAAGCTGCATTAGTTACCTGCAGGTTATGAGCAAACCTGTTTGATTACTTTGATCAACAGTACAGGTTCATTTAAAGCTTGCTTTTTTTTTTTTTTTTAAACCAACAACAAACCAACAAACTTTTCTATTCAGTCCTATCTGCCAGCAAAAGCATTATTGCTGCTATCCTCACTTGTTCCACGTAGTGTAGAGAACAGGAAGGAAACCCCAGGTTTGAAAGCCATCTTTCAAACACTTCAAGCTTACCCTTTCTATACTGTAAATGTCCTTCAATTAATTCCTATCACATACAAATTTGTCACTCTTATCATTTTCACAGTCGAGAACTTGGATGTATTTTCCTCTCAGAAATCCTAAGCACATCTTCCCAAATACCCTGCTCTTTATTCAGGTGTTAACTTTTGACTGTTTCAGTCATCTTGTTACTTAATCTTATGAACATATTTCCTTCTACTTATCTGACAGAGCCTTCTGAATGCACTGGGTTATATTTTAATTCTAGCTTTGATGTTAAGTGCTGTAATTTTGTTGGGTGACGGGTAGCAATATTATAAACTCTGCTAGTCTCTATATTATTTTGTAAAACAATTTCCAAATAAACATTTATGCAGGTTAATCATAGCAAAAGAGAAAATGCTAATTTAGCCTATGATAAAAAGTTAAAAAACCTCTGACAACTTTTTTTTTCAATGAAGTTGGTAACAGCATGCACTCTTAAAGATGGGTCAAACTTGACAAGGGGAAATGGTTTTAAACTAAAAGAGGGTAGATTCAGACTAGATGAAAGGAAGAAATTTTGTATGACAAGGGCAGTGAAACACTGGCACAGATTGCCCAGAGAGGTGGCAGATGCCCCATCCCTGGAAACATTCAAGGTCAGGTTGGATGTCCCTGCTCATCGCAGGGGCGTTGGGCTAGACAACCTTTAAACATCCCTTCCGACACAAACCATTCTATGATTCTTCATGCCATGTAGCACCTGTTGACAGAGAAAAAGGGTCATGGTTCGTTTTCTTTAACATTGGCAATTTCTGCTCTGGACAGAAGCTTCTTACTTCACTGCTACAGTTCATGAACTGCAGTCACTGAAGATGAAGACTTGAATTCAAGACAAACAAGCCAACTTAACCAGGTGTTGTACCCTTCCATCCTCCTCGACTTTCACCAGACCTTTGGTGTGAAGATTTAACACAATAACGTGACCAAAAAATAGCCACTTTCTTAGGGTTAGTGAAGTGAGCAAGACCACTCCAGCGAGGACCAGAACAGGCATGCAAAAGCAATGTGGGAAGCAGGACTTTCTCGTTTGGTAATGGTGATTTC